TATATTTACTATTGCATGGGTTATTCATTAATGGTAATTTTTCTGATATTCGCCATGTTAATTTTTATGTTTATAATAAAAACAATAGCATTCGTGGTGTTGTTTTTATTATACACGTTACACCAATTGCAAAAGTMTTGTCATATAAAAATKAAAATCAAAAAATGAATTGAATAGAAAAATGAATAGCCATTAATTAAAGAAACAAAAGAAGTGAGCAACTCCTTTCGTTTTTTCATTAATACCTATTGATTTCTTTATTGTCTTTGTTTTTTATTTTTATTTTTCTATCACAACATTATTGCAATTTGGTGCATTATTGTGTATTCTGCAATATTCATATATTGAATTGTTGTACGATACGGTTCACTTTGTTGGACGGGCACAATACGCAGGTCTGTAATGGCATCGCTGTCACTGGTAAGTCTGAACTTTGATTATATTCTTAAATYAATGAAAGTCGCTCTTAGAGCGCATGTTGTTACTCCAAAACTCGACAAGGRGTAMCCCATGAGGCATTCGGCCTTTCTGCTGCGATATCGATCGRGAAATGATCGAAACGATTTCGGAAAAGGGTCGTGTATAAGTCGGGTGTATTACAGATTTCTTTCTTGCTTACATCGCGACGACATAGTGGAATACTAGTGGAGTAACCACAAAAATCAATCATTGTCATGTTCATTAGTAAAGTGTGTTTTAAGTAGAAGGAAGAATAAGTATTACACAAGAAACTTTGTTCCATAGAAATATTAAAAAAAAAACTAAAAAAAAACAACAAAATTATGAACACGATGAATCATTCGACAAAACATGCCCGCCGCCGACATATAGCACCCAATTCTGACCATTATTCATGAAATCGTATCGTGGCATAAAATAAGATTATTTCCAATAGAAATAAATTCAAAGACAAAAGTGTGATTCAGCTTCAATTTTAATGAATTTCTATTTGTTAAAGTGAATATGATTTCCTATTTGATTTATTCAGCTGGATACTCATTTTTCCATTTCAGAGCTTGATTGTTGAACGCCATMSCTATCATAAATTCAAAAAGGTAAGCAATCATGTGATGCTTTTGATGTCTTTATTTCCTTTTCTCTCTTTTCATCTTTTTTTAATCATACAATTGATCCTAAAAACCTATTCCAWGTGACCTGCAGACTCCGTTGTAACTTGAAGGCGTAGCCTATGTGAGAATTCCTTCTTAGACTTTYAATATTTTCTAGACTATATTTTATGTTCCAAAAGAAAAAAAKCGAAATATGAAATACAAGCCAGAAAAGTTAATGTACAAATATACGAATTAATTATGAATGATATTTGATAACTCGAGAGCTTTTTGATGCGAATCAATCTTTGTCAGCGGTGTWTAACCAAGTACATTTTATATTCTGCCTCGATCGATGCAGAACCAATGGCAAAGATAAACGGTAATTCATAAAGTTATTGCATGCTTTTAAWTTAAATCCAAATAAAAATTTGTAACTTTGCATGATATGAAGATAAACGTTTTTGAATATTTCATTGAATAGCATGGCACGACTTGTAGTTAAGTATAATYTCCTGCATGGCGAATATCAGTTCACTACAGTCGACGCCCTCCACCATCTTTAATACTATCAAGAAAGTAACAATAATTCCTATAAGTGATCTAACACGGTATAAAATACATCAAGTCAATGAAAAAAATAATTTATTGTAGCATTGAAATCTATAAACAATGGAGCTTTGAAATTAGAGCTCTTTTTATAATAAAGCAGTTGACATCCTCTTTGGATTTCAATTTTTGTAGTTTTGTGATAATCACGTACGAGAAATTCAATTGCAATGCTCACTAATTAATTGGTTAATAGATAATCATAAGTCTATGTGGAGATTGCTAACATTGTGTTCTAGTTATTCACATATTCCATTYGTCACAAGAAGGGCGTCGATTGTACAAAAAACCATTACACGTAGTCCCTACAGTGTTTCATCTAACATCACATTTTCAATGCTGAATCCTATTTATTTTTCATTTCTTTTACCAGATATAAACGAATGCAGCAAAAACGCATTGGCTTCTCATCACAGTCACTACGCRCATAACTGTCACAATGATGCTAACTGTACCAACACCAAGGGATCGTTCTACTGRACCTGTCARACYGGYTARTCYGGYAATGGAGTCACGTGTGTTGGTATGTAGGCCATTWTGTATCCTGAATGTGGCATGATGAACTTGCCCATCAAATTATGTTATTGTTTCATTTAGATATCAATGAATGCCAAAACAACTCTCTTGCGCCTTACCACAGTCACTACGCCCARAACTGRCATWARGATGCTAACTGTACCAACACCAAGGGATCGTTCTACTGTACCTGTCATACGGGATACTCGGGGAATGGAGTCACGTGTGTTGG